CCGGAGATTAAGAGCATTCAAGAAGCTCGCCACACCCTTTGAAGGAAAATACAAAAATAACAGCTCATGTTTATATAAACAAAACTATCAGTCATTTTCATAATGACTTAAAAAGGATTAATATAATTTGGAAGGTTCATTTATCAGATAGCTCTGCTCTGTGTGCTTTTATTGAAAGGGAATAGTGACGCTCATCAACTAGGCCACACACACACACACACACACACACACACACACACACACACACACATGGGAGAGAGGGGAGAGAGAGAGAGAGAGAGAGAGAGAGAGAGAGAGAGAGAGAGAGAGAGAGAGAGGAGGAAGAAGAAGAGGAAGAGAGAAGAGAACAAAGACAGGAAGTTCCTTTTATCAGTTTTGGGCCAGGCTATTGATTATTAATGAGGAGTGAGCTACTTCTAACCTATCACAGGGCAGGTTGCCTTTTATGGGTCCAGCCCTGCAGACACAGGTTTCAACTTCTGCAGACCTCTGTGGCCTTGGTGGGAGGGAAACCAGAGATAAGGGCATGAGGTCATTTTAGGAGCCAAGATGTACCAGGAGAATGCAGCCTGTGAGGCGGCGTCACAGCACATTTTAACATGAGCAATTCCCTAACATTTATTCCCTGGGAGCACAGAGGTTTCGAATCCACATTCTGTTATATAGTGCAATAAAAGGTAGAAATTATTTATAAAATGTAAAAAAAAAATCATCCCATCAAAAATTTTGGATGTATGAAAAGAGTATTCTATAAATCCGAAGTCTAAGAAAGAAAGTCAACTCTATAGATCACTAATTGTTCATTTATTAGAACCAATAGTGGTTTTTGTAAGTACCAATTTCAAACGATAGCCTCAAATAACTCCTCTGAAACTAGAGCAAAAGAAATTACTTAGTAATAGGCAACAAATGAGCACTCGCTAATCATCCTTCCAGGGATGTATCAGAAGGGAAAGCATAATATGTATAGACTGAATAAAAAATTGATAAGTGTGAAATCAGTGCAAATATTTGAGTAGAAGATTAAATATAAATATGCTGATGTTTTTTTGATAGATTAAATTATAATTTTTTGATAGATTAAATTATAAGCTCCATGTAGAATGTGTCCAAATCCTAGAGTTAATATTTTAGGATTTGCAAAAAAAAAAAACAAAAAACAAAAATTAAGTTAATTTGGAAGAAATATGCTGAGTAACATAAAACTGGAACTCTGGAGAAAAATCTGCCTCATGTATACGACAAAGGATTGGTATTTGTGTACGTAAAGAGTTTTTACCAATCAGTAAGAGTCAACCACCATGCCAGAAGAATATGGAGTGTATAGCAAGAAATTCACAGAAGGGAAGCATGCGTGCAAATACAGGAAGGCCTGGATTTTGCCACTGCCTTTCAATTGCTAAACTGTCAAGGCAGAAAGAAGGGTAGAAAAGTTTGGTGCTGTTGGCAGTAAGGCGGCAATCACAGGCCGATCATTATCGATGAAATTCCAGTTGGAACTTTCTGTTTGGAAGATTGAGAAACAAATACCAAGAGCTTCTAAAATGCACAAGCATTTTGACAGAGCAGTTATAATTTCAGGAATTATTCCTAAGGTCCTGGTGATAAATACGTATGTGCATTAAACTACTTTATAATTGTAAAATAATGGAAATGATCTCTAACAATAGATAATTGTCTAAATTAAGTTGTAGTAGGCTTTACTAGAAAATTCCATGTTTGTTAAAGACTTTTAGATTTAATGACATGAGGAAATATAAAGGTTACTGAGTAAAAGGAGATATGAATTTGTATAAAAAATAAGAGCAAAGAAAATATTTGGAGATCCATCAAAATGTTAACTAGTAGTTCTCTCTGGCAAAACTCTGGATAATCTTGTTTACTTCTTTGTATGATTTTATCCTTTCAAGTGTAGATGGATGAATGTATGCTACTTTCATACTTAGCGAAAGTACAATATATATTATTTTAAAATACATTAATTTTCGTAATAAAAAGTTCATGTTGTAACATAAAATACTTTGCTGTTTTGGCTAGTACCTTAAAGTAGCCTATATAATTTGAATGGGAAAATGCTTTGTTTTTTTTTTTCCTAAGAAATTCTTTGTATCTACTATGCTGTTTTGCTGTTAATGCTGTGAGAAGTCACCTTTTTTGGGTTTGTGGGACACCTTTATGAGCTGTAGAGGGCTGGGTGCCTTACAGGATGAAGGGCTAAATAGGTAAGGGAATGAAGTGACAGGTCACATCTCTGATACAGGCATCAGCAAGCAGTGTCCTCTTTACTATAGGTGGAAAAGAGTCGATGTCAGACACTGGCCAAGTTCTTGCATTTTTTTATTCATTAAATTTATCGGTACATTTTGGGTATGCAGTATGATGATATGCATCATTGGGAATTTGTACCTTTACATGATCTATCTTGGTTCTTATTTTTTCCCATTCCCCTGCTCTCCCTTCACTCCCTCCACTCCTCCCTATTTACAAAGACTTTGTTTCCATTTCTTCCTTTTCTCATATTTATTCCTTTCCCTTCTTTCCTTCCCCTACCCTTCCCACTTCCCCTTCCCCTTTGGACCTTTTCTTCCTATTTTACATTATCTATTATACATTTTGATCCTAATTCACACTTTGAGTTTCTCACACCAGAAGTTTTCATTTCAGAAGAACATCTGAGAAAAAAATATCCAAGTGAGGGCATTGCTGGTCTCACACCTCTGAAGTCCTTGTTGCTCAGGCCAGGGTCCCACTCTTGCAGAACCTGATTAGGCGAGACTTAGCCACACAGAATATCAAACTCTTTCAGATGTGTCATCCACCTCCTCTACCAGGCGAAAGCCAGCAGATATGGGCCAGGGTGGGGACGGTCCCACGTCACAGAGGACAGGCTTTCTTTCACTATCAGTTCTGAGTGAGTTGTAATTTTCAAGTTTTGCTAGTACTGTTTGGCTTCTTAGAATAGTCTTTTGGTTCAATAGCTGCTAATTGTTTCATTATTGCTTATTATTATTATAAGTCACATTTCTTTATAGACAGTAGACCACTTAGAAAAACTAAATATCTTGTTGCCACTCATGAAATGAACCTGTGTAGCTGTTCCTACATCATGCTCCTACCCCCTGGTCCTACTACCCTTGTGATTTCCACCACTCAGTCAGCCAAACAAATTTGTATGCAAAAATAAGAGCACTGCTTATTTAAATTGCCTGCATAGTATTTATATGAGTATATAATGTTTATTAACTTCCTAAAGTCAAAATGCCAATTAATAAACTGGATAATACACCTGACTGTAGCATAATTATCATGAGTTAATGCCACCTCCAAATCACTGAATCGTAGGCAAGTTTTTTATTTGATATTTTGCATGAGTGAGGAATATTCTTTAAAACGAATGTATTTGAACTATATGATTCTTCCCTTCCATTTCCTTTTTTTTCTGATTAAGATGGGTATAGCCAAGCTACCATCTTCCTGCTAAATAAAACCCACTAGAGGCAGATATCTCACTGCTTATTTCCAAACACAGTGGGACTAACCAGTGAAAACCCCTTGCCAATCCACTCAAAGCAAGTGAGTCTTTGAGTTCTGGTAGATCAGCTGCATAAGAATGTTGGGAGAAGACAAAGGAAGAAAAGGAGGAAGAGAGCAGCACAGGAAGGGAGGAAGAAATGTAGGGAGAAAGGAGGAAGTTTCGGGGATCGCGATCTAGGTCTAGTATTATAGAAACAGCTTTTGTTAACTAGAAAAGAGGTCAGGGACCTAGAGGACTGGGTCCTCAGATGATAAGCTAGCTCTGGGCAATAGATTGTCAGAAACTAAAAACAAACTTCATTGACTTCACAGTTTCACCTAGATCGTAGCACATTGGATGGTAACGCTTGTAATAAAAGGGTCTATCATCATCAGTACCATTAATTAAGTGCATAGGAATTTGCTAACAAGTGGGAGCAATGCTCTATATCAGGGGTGGCGAACTATGGCACACAGAGCTCTCTTGTCAGCACATGAGCACACACATCTCCCCAGCAGACGGAGCATCAAATATTCAGGTTTAACTGCAGTGCTGGCACTTTGCAATAAATAAGTGTGTTTTGGGTTGCAGATTGGGCGCTTGGTCTCTGAAAGGTTCACCACCATTCCTCTAGATGATAATATTACCTAATCCTCCCAATAACCATTGAGTCAATGTCTCTTTTTGACAGATAGTAAAAGGAGGCTTAGATCTAAGTAAAAAAAAAAATCCCTCCAGGGATTTAACTCAGTGGCACCTCACTTGCCTTGTAAGCACAAGGTCCTGAGTTTGATCCCTGGTACAGGAGAGAGAGAGAGAGAGAGAGAGAAAAAAAAAACTTATCCAAGGTGACACAGTTAGTATGGGAATCTGGGACTTGAACTAAGGTCTTTGTGATCCTGAAGTCCATGCAAGTAATGAGCTACAGATAACAGGAATTTTACATCAGCTTTTACTGTCAAATTTATAGAAATCGTGTAACAGCTTTTTTTTTTTTTGTTTTTTTGTTTTTTTGCTTCTGTCCATATGGAGTGAGATAGGGTTCAAATCACTAAAGTCTACTAATGGACTAAATAAGCACAGTGTAGTCAGCTCTAGTTGTTTTAGCAATTTAAAAGAGCAGTGGTGATTGGTGTCATAAGAGCCCTAACACCCATTCCTACAAAGTACAAGGCAACTAAACTGCTTTTCCAATCATCTCATTGCATGTGCATTTGGCAAACTGTCTCTGCTTTTGGCTGTCATCTTTTTAATGCAAGTGTTTCTTTGCATCTATTTACTTCACAATCTTCTTTTCAACATGGTGTCTTCTTTTTGAAATCATAGCATGGGAGTTGATTAATCTTCATGGATTTTGAAACAAGGTCACATTTTAATGTGAATGCATTTAAATGGACCCCATTTACTTAAATGATGTGAAATAGCTCAGCCACATTCCCATGACCTGTTTTTGTACCTTTTGATACTTTATATGATCGCCAATCAGTTGGACAGATAATAAGCGAAACCTTGGCACCCGGCTGCCACAGCCACTATGATGCCCAATCTGGTGTTTGCAGCCCAGCTGACTGGGAGACGCTCACGCGGAAGCTGGAGATCCACACAAGTGGAGGTAAGGGCGCGTTACCCCTAGAAAAGAACTTCAGAAATCTTTTGCAAAAGACAGCCCACTTCCGTCTTTCATTTTGTGGTCTCATGTCTTCTTCCTGCACCTTTTCTTTTTATCTAATGAACACAGTGTCAGGAAATAGCTGAGAAGCCTAGAGGGAACTTGGAAACTGACATTAGCTACGGATTTTATAATTTGTTTTTAGTGCCTTGGTGTCTATGATGAGAAAAAGGACTTCAGATTCTCAGTTTCTGGTGAAGAGTTTCAGGTTTACCTTGATTCATAGCTTGCCTCCCAGTTACTGAGCCAGGTAGGTGGATTTGCCTCCTCTGACCCAGTTGGAGGCACCAAGAGCCAAGGCATGTCATATTCACAGTGACTCATTTAAACCTCCTCTTCTTCTTTTAATTAGGAAAGAATTCATTGCCATTACTATGTGACTTTGGCCGTTGGTGTTGAGTATTCCATCTGCAAGATTGCCACTTAGAGACCGATTCCAAAGACCATGATTCATGCAAAGCATATCTGGGCAAAATTCTTATGGAATCAGGCTTTCTAATCTGTAGTGGATGACTTCTTAAAAATGCTCTGATGTGAATACATGTATGTGTGTACATGTGCTCATTTTTTCATTCCGTGACTACATTAAACACGTGCATTATATGACTGTATTACTGCCACATCCAATGTTTAATGATAGTCACCAAGAGCCATGAGGACTTCGAGATTTTACCCTATTTTTAAGTGAATATTGCCCATCGCTTCATGGACAATGGTAGAAAACCCAAGACAAGCTCCATTTCTTCCCATGCAACATGAGGGCCAGATGACACTTAAGGAAGGAGTGGGGTGAATTACAGGAGAGGGACCCTGGTGGGGACATTTCACCCTAGGAGTTCTAGCATAGCTCCACAAACATTTATTTTGCAATGCAGCTGGAGTAGTTGTGATTGATCTAATCTCATTCAGACAGGAAAGTCTCGATGATGGTAAGCTGTGGGATGAGAGTGCGGAAGGAAGATTGGTTTTCAGGCAATGTACTAAGCATTCTACAAGAATTCTCTCACTACTATGAGAACTCTGTGAATCAAGAAGGCCCATTCCCATTTTATGACTAAGGAAATGGAAGATCCGACAGGTGTAATTTCCTGAGGGTCCAATTAGTACGTGGTAGAGCTGGCATTCTCAAGAGATCTGACTTCCAACTGCACATTTTTTTTCCACTAAATCAGATTGCCCATTTGTGAATACTGCTTGCTTGCAAATTTTCTTTTCTCAAATAAGCCTTGGAAAAAAACCTTATGAGGTTACTATCAAAATCATCCACCATGTTTTTGTACTGCTATTTGTAAGAAAAGCTTCTATTACTCCTAATCCCTTGTTTCAGGAATGTCCTGCCCAATTTCCCTGTCATTTGTGTGTTCGTATAATAGTGTTCATATATAGAGTAGCCATTGGCACTTTCTTGCCTAGAATTTAGGAATAGTATATTATTACATGGTAATGAGGCCATTTTATACCTTTGTATTTCTGAATATTCTTTAATTAATCCATAAATTTGGAGGATGTCTTAGAGAGGCAGAGAACTTTATTTAAATGTTTTTCATAACTGGCTTTTTAATAAAACTTCCATGCAGTAATTTGGATAGCAACAGATATATTATTAGAAAGAATATATTGTTTCTTGTTTCAATATAATTTGTTCTAAATTCAACAGTGATCTGTAATGAAATAAAACAGACTACGTGAATTTCCTACATGTTCTCAGAACAGTTTGGTTCTACACTTCCTTCTGGGAGATTTTAGATACAATTTAGGAAATAATCTCTGTGATATACACAAAGAAGTACCTACAAAAGTCAGCCTCAGCCCTGATGATAGAGCTGAAATTTCTGTTTTACTCCTTTGAAAGGACACAACAAAAGTTACCTTTCAAATATATGTTTAAAGTGAAATATCATATCAGCTATTATCACCTCACCCAAAATGAGTGTTTATCATACTCATTGTTGCCAATCACTGTTTATCATAGTCATTGGCAAGAGACTTGGGGAATCCAGCTAAAGATAACTATGCTTTGTATTAGCGCAAACAATCAAGTGGTAACAGCTCTGGATGGAGTGTTCAAACTAGGGAAGAAGGGACTTTGGATGTCTCTTAGATTATCAGGGAAGGTATAGAGGATAAGATAATTAACCAAAAAACCAGGCAGATAAGAAAAGATAAGGAAGACACATTTGTTTATGTCACAAATTTACATAAATTAAAGGTTGACACCTTGGTATGATAGTTTATAGTATATAACCCAGTGTCTTTCATAAATATATAACCCAGTGTCTTTCATAAATGAAAACAAAAAGAGTAATAGTAATTATTAGGATGATTATTTCTGAAGCTTTTATTTCCCTGTTATTCTTTGTTTGGGAAACTGGGTAATTAGCATGAGACACATTTCCTTAGATTGCATGGATCATTCAAGAAAGAATGTATGTCTCTGTTAAATAATAAGAAATTCATTCAAAGCCTTTTAAAAATGTAGTGAACCTATACTGGCGATAGTATTCCCATATTGTCAGAGATTCATTGTTGAGAATTATGAAATACTTCAAGAAGGTCATTTATGTTGAAAATTGTCCCAGACTACAAAGTCTGTCTTACTCTGTGATCCTGTTTTGCCAAAGGCAAATCCATTTCTGAATGTTGATGATAGGTATCCTGACCTGTAATACAAATTGGTGTCTTTAGCAAAGAGTCTCACTTTGAGCTGCAAAGTTTTTTGATGACTAAATCTAGATATAGTAGCTTTAAAATATGGGTGTGATATTTGATTCAATTGCCATCTCTGTTTTATGATTGTGTTACTAGATGGCCCCATGAGTAGCAGCAGAACATAGTTAGAAAACAGTCATATTATGGTGCTATAGGAAATGATGGCTTTAGAGAAAATTGAATATTTTTTATTGCATTTTTCTGCAAGTGTTATATTTCAAGTGAAAGTAGGATGTTAGGATGTAGGTATGTGGTGTGTACATATATATGGGAAGAAAGAGAATTTATTGTTTTTAAAGCATTGGGAATTGAGGGGTTTTTATTCACTTATTTCCATCATTTCTGATGCCTAGCTTAATAACATTGTATAAAAAAAATCCATTAATTCTGAAAGCATTTCTTTTCATAATGAAAGGCCCTAATTAAACCATGGTGTATATTATAGTTAATGGCACACCACAGAACCCACCTAGCTGATGTTTCATACACAATATGCACGGCTCCTTGGTAACAGGTACATCTCTTATACAAATAGGTATCACATAAGATTATACATAATATCTTCACCTTTGTCTGTTCTGATTGAAGTAACCTTGTTTTTTAATCTTACTTTTATAGCACCATGTAGGAATGTAGTAGTGGAGCAAAGAGCAGTACTGAACCCAAACAAGAAACCCAACCAAATTACACAACAAGCACGTTATCTGGAGAAAGAAGCAACAGAAGGTGGCAGAGGTCCCCAGCACCAGGATGCAGACCTCACGGAAGATGAAGGCGACACAGCCCAGCTGGAGGAAGCAGGGGCTAAGGAGTTTCCCTCAGTGGAGTGGAAGCCAACTGCAGAGCAGCCAGTATTAGCTGAACAATTGATAGAAAAAAGAGAGATCCCTGTAGGGCTAGCAAGTGGGGCAGAGGCAGAAGAGGAAGAAGATGGACAGCTGGGGAAAGAGGAGTTAGACCTCAGGGGCAAGGCAGCAGCAAGAGACTCCGTGAGCCTGAGTGGAGAGGAGGCTCCTGAAGAGCAGGCCCCAAGGCAGGCAGAAAAGGCAGCTTCTCTCATGGGGGAACAGGACTTATGGAAGACAGTGCTTCCAAACGACACAGCACTGAGCTTCCAGAATCTTCAGGGGATGGTGACCTTGAGAAGGGCTGCTATTCCAGAAATGGGACAGGCTGAGAATGAGGTGACTGTGAGGGAGGCAGGATTCAAAAGGCCAGATGCAGAGGGAAGTGAAGAAGAGGCAGCCACAGAGCAAGCGGACCCGGGGGCTGTGGAAGACACACAATCCTTGAAAGAGGATGGGTCAGAAGAGGCAACAGTTGGGGGACAGGAGCCAGACAGAGAGGGGATGGCAGTTCTGGAGGCAGAAACATCTTCCAGCTCCTCAACAGCAGAGTCTGGGGTGGAGGGAAGTCACATGGGTACTTCTGATGACAGCCTTGGAGATCTTCCCAAAGAGGAGACCATGAAGGAGGAAACTGTGACTGAGCTAGGACCAAAAAGGAAGGATGACAGGAAAGAAATGTTACCTGAACAATTAGATGTAGTGGGAGAGAGGAGAAAAACTGGGAGGCCCCCAACGTCTCTGAGGGAAACTGGATCTGAGAAGAAAGTGGTGACGTGGGCAGATGCACTGAAGGAAGAAGACACAGCAGAGGAAGAACAAAAATTTAAAGTGGGAGGGAGGAAAACAATACAGGAAATAAGATCTGAGGGGCAGGCAAAAGCCCCCAGAAATGAAACAGAATCTGATTGTGAGGATGTAGACCCCAAAGACTTGACTGAAGATACAGAGCTTCTAGAAGATTCCCAGAGAGAAAGAGTTGCTAATTTGTTGGAAGCAACATCTGAATTTGCAAAGTCACTTGGAAAGGTAATAGCACTGAGGAAAGGAAAAGGAGGAGAAGGACTGAGTGAAGCTGGAGACACAGAGCACAGAGGCTGGGCACAGTGGCAAGGCCAGGCGACCACATCCCCTTCACAGCAGGAGGAAGGGCCAGGGGATGGAGGAGAGGGGACATCAGAGGGTCCTGACAGTGAGGCCCCTGGTGAGAGAGAGGTCCCTGACCTGACCATCCCAGACACGGGACAGGCTGGGGAGTGTGATGGCCAAGATGGCCTTGCTAGACTGGAGGGGAGGGATAAGGAAGGGCCTCTGCAGGGGCCAGAAGGAGTAAGGGCCATGACAGCGACCCCAGAGGCTGTACCTGAGGGAGATCCCAGGATGGCGAAAAAGTCCAATGAAGAAGCAGAGGATGGGGACCCTGAGGAGGGTGGGGATCAAAAGGCCACGCTGGAGACAGGAGTGAAGAACAGCAGCACAGAGAGAGAAGGAGCCACAAGAGGAGAAACAGTTATGGCTGAGGAGGATCTGCAGGAAAGAGGAGCAGGACAGACAGCGGCAGAGAAGAAGGAGGTGTTGGCAGATCTGAAGACAGGGAAGGAGAAAACAGTAGCAAATACAGCCACCTCCTCTTCAGATGTTGCTGGGGAGGAAGCCAGACTCAAGGCACCAGGGAAAACAGAAGCTGCAGAGCAGGTGGTGGCAGAAGAGATGGTGTCGAGCAGGGGAGAGGTGACAGTGGCTTCCATAACAGAGGCTGGGGTGGGAGTGCATCCAGGGCCTTCCCGGGGGGAAGGGGAGGCCCTGAGGTTAGGACAGGATGGGCAAGGAGGAGAAGCAGGGGTCACACAGCCTGCAGGCTCATCACAAGTGCAGGCAGGGCCAGGGAGTGGCGACCCTGGGCAGGTGGCAGAGACAGGTGAAGAGTCATCACAAGACAGAGAGTCAGAGCCCAGCAAAGGGAATGTAGAGGTGGTAGCCATGCTCCCAGTGAAGTCTGGAAGAATCACTTCCGGTGACTTCTCTGGAACCCAAGAGAATCTAGATCATATGGTGCCAAGGCAAAGCGAGAGTGCAGATGTTCCCTGAACAGCAGGAAGGACTAAGAGATTTGTACCGGATGGTGAGTTGGGGTGGGATCTGTTCGCAGGACTGAATAAAAGCCCCTAGTATGGGTCTCCTCTCCTTGGAGCTGACCTTGTTAGTGTGTGCTGTGCTTGCATGCTGACTTGGGCTTCAGTTCTGTGCCGCTGGGTCCCAGCTTTTGAAGGGAAGGGCTAGGGAGGAGGAGGAGGGACAGACTCATACACAGGACTCCACGTGGCTTTCTTTCTGGCTCTAAAATCATACCCTGTCTTTGCAAATACTGAAGCAGTTGAGATCTGTGTGTCCCTGTCAAGGTCTCAAAGATGAAATACAGAGAATGTGCCACAAGATACAGACCACAGAAGTAAAGAATCAAACTGTCTTCTAGAATTCTAGAATTCTTTAGCATTTCAAAGGAACAATGCCTGTCAGGGATCAGTGGCCTTTAAATGGGTTCCATGCTTTTATTTCTATAGTATTATGAAGTTCAACATATGTGTAAATTTTACATAGAAGGTATAAATATTTAATCATCTAATATATACTGCTTAAATAATAAATGTTGAAACTAAAACCAAAGACCACAATTTATTTTTGCAGACTTCGTATTTCCCTGATGCCCTTACAGGCTCACGTCCTTGCTATGACCACAATCTACCTTCTAGAAAGTAGAAAGTGCTCAGAAGTCTGCTATTGCAAATGACTATGTCCACAGTACTGCTATTCTTTTTATTATTTTTCAGGATTTTTCAAAGTGTCTTCTGGAAGACATAAAGCCTGGAGAAAGTTTCATCCATGCATCTCACTAGGATATTAGATGTTTTCTCCTTTTCTTTTTTAAGTTACTGTGCTTTTCTGAGATGGTTCTCATGAAGAATGTATTTAGCATGTATCACAGAATATACAGTAATTAAAAATTGAGAGAAAATAAATTTAACATGAAAAAGTCTCAAGATACACTATGTATGTGTGGCACTTGCTCAAGATGAATGTGGTTCCTGTGCATCTTAACTTTACAACAAAAACTTAAAGAAAAGACTGCTTGAACCTCTAGGTCCTTCCGGAAAAGGATTCCACTGCGTGTAGTTTTACTTAAACATCAAACTAGTCAGTCTGTGTGTGCCAGAGCAGTAATTTAAAGTGGATCCTTATTTCAAAATGCCCTTTGCTTTGCTTGTGTTCCCGAGCTCCTCCCTTCTCGGGTAGACTGGTGAAATGGCATTTTGCAGAGTTTCATCCCTTGGGCCTTATTTATGGGGCCGCTCATCTCTAAATCAAAGGAGTAAATTATTTATGTCAGTGGAATGAATATAATAATTATATCAGGTCGATGTATTCCCTAAGCGCACGTGCCAGCTGTCGAGGGACCCTAGTTGATGTCGTTGAGTGGAGAAGTTGCCCGGGTGAGTGAGCGTGCTACTCCGCTTCCCAGGTGCAGTCGTGTCACACTTGGAAGCTCACCTTGCAGTCTGTGATACATCAACAGGCACAACTGCTTTTGGCTTTGACCCCTGGTATTGCTCTCTAGTTGAGCATCGGCATGGCTCTCAGGGTTTGATTTCCTCGAGGTTATCTACATACCTGTGCCCCCAAGACTCGCCTTTTCCCCAGATGAGAAGGTGAAAGGAAGTGTGCAAAAGTAGCAGCTCTCCAGTCAGTCCACACTCTGGTTTTCCGTAGGACACTTTCACAAGGGACTCTACCCTGGGATCCACCCCAGAACCAGATTTCACTTGTTTTAGGTGAATCTATGCGTCAGCATGCACGATACATGTATGTATTTATGCGCATATATCTCACGATATAGACTGAATGCCCAAATTTAAAAACATTACAGTAAATGACACATTGCCATTAATTTTCCCTAAAAGTACCCCCCCTTGCTTTGACAATAGTTGTCCCACCATTCTTGCTACTTCTGGAAGCAGTTCTGGAAGTCATTTTTCACGTTTTTATGAGATGTGATTCCACAATATGGCTAAGGCTGCTGCAGAGCTCCATCCAACAGAAAGGCAGGCTTGTAGAAACATTACTGTGTGTCCTCATCCACCTTGCTCATTGGATCTGCTCCACACAACTTCGGGTTCTTCTCCAAAATCAAAATGACTATGAAAGATTGCCATTTGGAATCTGTTCAGGACCTCAAGGCGGCCAGGGCAGCTCACCTAAATGCAGTCCCAAAAGAGGACTCCAGAACCACCTCAGAAAGCGGCAGGAATGATGGGGTAAATGTATTTTAAGTGATGGGGAGTATTCCAAGCAGGATTAGAGCAGCAATGTGTCTTTTACTGTAAAAACTTTAAAAAATCTAAACTGTATCTTTTGTTTCACTCTCTGTCTCTTACACACACACACACACACACACACACACACACACACACATTTTACTTCATTCTGCAAAGTAGCCAAAGCTGAGAACCACTTCCTAAGTCATCATGCAATCCATGCTGGCTCTTTTGTATTCTTATCTACAGTCCTATGTAGGTGTGACCCTGGCGTATCGTTGTGGTGGGTGTTTTTCCTCTTAACCAATGATGGAGCTGCTCAGTATTCAAAAAATATACAGGACTAGGCATGGTGGACTAGATAATGGATTGGTCATTTAATTACGAACATCATCATCACCTAGAAATTGTTTCTGAATTCCTCTCATACCTGTTAAATTAAAAACAGTGGTAGGGCCTAACAGCCGGCAATTTCCCAAGACTTGGAGGCAATTCTGATTGCATACCAAAGTCTGAAAACTGCTCTCACGGACTATTGGTGATATTGAGGATTATTGGAAAGAGCGAATTGCTGGAGAAATGTGAACTTCATTTGCTTCTCCCTGTCTCCTTTCTTTTTGTGTCTCCATCTTTTTTCTTTCTCTGCGGCTCTTTTATTTTTGCCAGGAAATGGTCCTCATTACAAAGTGGTAAATTCAACCCTGTGCTCATTTACGTTGTGCCCGCATCAAAGTGTATATGCTGAGGTACTTCTGCCCACCCTGGCTTAAGGTATTGTTCACTCCACAACCGCTCTCCCTCATTTGTCTCTTTTCGTAAGTGGATTCCAGCTACGTTACATCTCATTTCATTCATTTGGGGGCTCTATTACTGTACAGCTCTACAGTATTTGTTCCTTGGCTTCAACCTCAATGCTACAGAGCACTTTGAATACATAGCACCATAAGAGAAAGATTGTAAACTTGTTGATCACATTAAAAATGAGTTTTGTACAATGCGCTAAGTGGAAATTGCATTGGATTATTTTTATATTGAACACATTCTATCAAAACATTCTGTAACATAATTCTGCAATCTGCATGTGGGTGTAACTGTGAAATTCAGTGTTGTGATATTTTGATTCTTTCTCTACAAATTCAATGTTTATAAAATTATTAGTGTGTTCTATCAAGCTGTTTTTTCTATTTTCCTCATTATTAAATATATAAATAGTAATATGTTTACAGGCATGACTTATGAATTGATTTTTTTCATAAGACTAAGCTTGTAAAATCCATTGTGTTTTTTGCTTACAAAAGTCACATTATAGAAGCAGAAAAAATGGAAACTAATTTTATTGGTCTTTTAATTTTATTGGTTTCATCTGTATGTACTTATACTGGTTACATTATACACATCTTTCACATATGCAGGATAATGTCAGGCAGAAAAGTTGTTCCTACTATTTTATAGATAATTAAACAAATGTTCAGTATAGTTAAATGGTCAATCTCAGATCTTCTGATTCCAAAATTGGGACTTCTTTAAAGTAATCACATATACTACTTTTAGGAAGAGGTATCTTAGATATTAAGACGATACATGTGAAACACCTCATGATTTTTGTTTACTAGTAGAAGGGAAAATCTCATTAATACCTTGTACTCATTAGAAGGGAGCGAAGAAACAGAGATTATTTAAACAATTTGAGAGAAAAGCAGACAAACAAAGGAAATGAAGAAAGAATTAGGCTTTCTACTTGAATTTCTTGGGTTGAATTTCTATGCCCTTACACATTCCTGTGTTGTAAATTTAAAGTAGAGTTTAATTCCGTACAGTCCCTGTGATCAATAATTTTGCCCCAATTATTGCCCTTGGAAAATGATTGTTTGAACAAAGAAAAGAAAATTCAAGGGAGATTCATCCAGTGAGTGAAATATTCCACCAAGCTCAAGGACAGCTCAGAAGAGCCAGTTTCTGACCTTGGATAATATTTCCTCCTTGGCTTCTGTACCACTCAATTGTGTCATTAAAAAAAAAAAATGCTGTCACCATGGCTAGCAGAAGAGGTACAAGAGAACAGGGAATAAATATAGCTGAAATTCTTTAAAAGTCACTCTCAAACACACTATTTTTTTTCCTTTGTTCATGATTTTTTTTCTTTTTTCTTTTCCTTCTAATATCATGCCCAGTGACAGAAAAACTGTGCTCTTTGAAATAACTGGAAAATCACTCTGTGAGAAACAAGGCTGGGTATTTGAGAATACATGAGCCTTTTGTAATTCTTTCCAGAAGATCCAGATTGTTTAGGAAGGTTGCGATGCCCCCGCTTTTAATTAGGAAAATGAGATAGAAAGAGGATTCCCAGGACAGATAAACTGGTGCCAAAGTCTGTGCCCCTTGCAAGTATTTCCTGGTCTTCATTAAATATCTAATGACATTTATAACCATTATAACCTGTTCTAAGGACTTAAAATTTATGGGAGAAATATCTCAGATGTTCAGAGCTCAGTACTAATGAGACACAAAGAGCTTCCAAGCGATGTGAGTGTACTCATGAGATTCAGCTTTTTGTGGGATTCTCCGGCAAGGTTAATTTGGAGATTCTCGTCTCCTGATCACTGCGGAAGAGGGTTTCTAGACTATCTGGTAGTCAATGTCTTCTCTTTCGCCAGTGAATACTCCGCCCTGTGTTCATGATAGATGCCAAGTCCTCATTCACTTGCCAGTTTCGCTGTGCTTCCTTGGTCCCTTCGGTGGCACAAATGAGACAAAAGAATGATTTGAAATAGGATATAAGGGTTGAGAAAGGGAATGACCTTAAGCACCAGTTGACAAACGCTTATGGAATTCAAGAGATCTCTGGTGCTTTGTTTTCAATAAAACTAAATGACGATCTGATTATATTGCCAGCTCGTAAGCCGTTAAAATATTTTTGGCATTTTATTAGTCTATGATTTTTAGTAAAATAGTCAGAAGATGTTCAGAGAAGAGCATTGCTACACTGGACAACAAGTAAGTCCATTCCCATCTTCTTATTTTATGACTTCCATGGGCACTGTATTTTTTACATTTGCAAAAATAAAGCTCAAAATGGAGCAGAACTGTTGCTGAAAACTCTTTTTCTAGAAGTAAATATGTCCTCACACATATACAAACTAATTAAAAATAGAAATCACTGTCTTCGGAAATGCATTTCTACTTTTACTTCTTATGTGTAGCATTTATCAAAATTTATAATGTATTTATGTTGTCCTGATCAACTATTTATTGCTAATAATTGCGAAGATAGCTCAGTCCAGAAGACGTTTCAACGCGTAAAACCTTATGGCCATAGGAAATCTTTTAAAATTAAATTTTAATACATATAGTAATTAAGTGGCAAGGAAGTATGACAAGGTGATTAATAAAAGACTTTAAAGTATTAAAAAAGTACTACAGCAGCAAAAACTTCTGTGGGTAGCGTGGAATGGAAATGTAAGTTTAAGGAAAAAAAAAGTAGCATGAGATTTCTAATGCTGAAGAAGA